CCACATGGCGGCTCCAAAACCGTCAACTGTCACGAGGATCTCGTCCCAGACACACCTGATCCTTGTGCTAGTGACTGCTACTGGTCGTGGACACTTTCCAACCACGACTCCCACATGAGGGTATTAAAAATGCAAAGATCGCGTGCCTGACAGCCAGTTCCGGTCACAGTTGACCCAAGAAAGCAACACGATAATGATAAGGAAGATTCATGATGATGATGATGATGACGATGACGACACCAACCCCCCAAGCAGACCCAAGCCCGAACCACACCAGAGGGGCAGGAAGCACACCCAAGCAAACCCAAACCCGAAACCACTGATGATGATGATGATGATGATGACGATGACGATCACCCCAGGAGACCCAACCAACTACACCGGGAGCCGAGCGACTCCAAGCAGACCCAAAACCCCGAACCACACCACACCACACAGCAGGCAGGGCGAGGGGGCCCCGGCCTATGCCCACGAGTTTCCCCATTTGGTCATTCCCCTCCCCCCCGTGGAGCGGGCCTTGAGCTTGTGTGTGGAATGGTTGGGTGGTTTGGTTTAGGCCTTCTGCCAATGGTTGTGCATGTGATCATCTCCCCTCCCCTCCGTGGACTTCTGAAGCAGGGCAAATGCCAAGTGAGGCCATCTCATGCTGAAGCACACATAGAGAAAGCCTGGGCAGCTGTGCGCAGGGAAGGCCTGACGGGACGCCGACTCCGCTGGTTGTGTGTAAACAATAGTCGAAGCTCAGAGCAACGCAGGATCTGCTGCCGCAGTGCTTTGCAAAGCTGAGCAGCATCGCCGCCCATGACCTGTAACAGAACTGGCTACCTGAGAATCAAGGTGAGAATCATAGACAGCGCCCCGCCTGGGCCATCGCTCGTAGTAGCCGGGCCTCTGGCTATCACCCGAAACGTGCCGAAACTAGAGATCGCGTGCCACTGCCGCGAGTGAGTTGTCGTGAAATCGGGCTTCCTCTCGAGGCTTCAACTTTGGCTTCCACACTTTGCGGATGGAGTTGGTTCACAGGGACCTGCAGCTCAGGCAAGGCAGGGCAAGACACTGCGGAAAGCTACGGGCAGCCAAGGGCCTCGGTCAGGGCCAATCCCAGCAGCCGCTCCGCTGCAGTGCCGAAGGCGGCTGTTGCCGGCAGCTGTCGGCACGCCATTTCGAGACTCGACCTCAGCGAGGCAATGGACTGTTGTTCTCATTTGGCAACTGCAACAAAAGGATTGAGCAGCCGAGCGCGTAGGGCAGTTCCGTCATGCTCAATAGAACCTAGCGAAGACAATGAGGCAATATATGGCAATATGCCATTGACGCCATCTTAGACTGGTGCAATCGCGTCTAAAGCTAAGAAACAGGAGCACCGGCAAGCTGGGGTGGCCGTTGAAGCATCCATTCCAGCAGCCTGCTGTATGATACTCCTTCTCTCTCACTCTCACACTCTTTCTTTCGCCAGGGCTGTGGGCAGGAGTGGCACCCCTACTCTCACACACACACACTTGCTTGCTTGCGTGCGGGCACACACACACACACACGCGCACTCTCTCTCCCTCTATCTCTGCGCCTCTGTCACTCCGACTCTGTAGGGCCCCAAATTGTTCAGGTCTCGTCATAGTCTTGCCTTTACATTTTTTTGGGGGGGCTCCCTGTTACTACGAGGACCCGTATATAGGATACTGAAAGGGAGGATTGCTTCGGTGCATGATACTACGGTTCATGGCTCCCACTAGACCCCAAACCGGAAACCCGAGACTCCAATCCCCAAAGCCGGAAACCCTAAGCTCTGAACGCTCCATCCTGAATTCCGACGGCTTACCCTCATGTCTGCTGCGGCCGATTCGATTTTGCAGAGTGCCAAACGCACCTTTAATCGTTGGACCTGGCTGGAAAGACAGTTTCAGCTGGCTCTGGCCTTCTCGAAAAACGCTGGAAGGGACATGCGTGGGTCCATGTTGCCGAGCTGCGTACCGTCACTGAGGACGATCTTGACCTGATAGTCTCGGAAACCTCGCCTGCTCGCGACACGGTGCTGAACATCCGCCAGGGTGTCCCCCTCGGTAAACTTGAAGCTGGCTGCCTCCTCGCCTGACATGGAGATCATTGTGACCTTATAAAGGGCGTCCACCTTCTGCACGTCCGCAGTGAACATCATAGTGTTCGGGCTCAGCGGCGTCCGCATGTCCCCGCCCGGCATGTGGAAGGGCATCCGTAAATTCTCGACGGTGGGTTGCATGAAGCTCTGCGGCCGGGCTGTAGCTCCCTCACAGCGAAAAAGCTGCCTCCTCTCTCGGTCAGCAAGCCAATTCTGGAAATCATGCACACAGGCGTTATCGACGGGGAACAGCTTCGATCCGACGCTCCACAAATTGGTCTTCATTTTGTTAAAGCATCTGCCGTAGATGATGTTCAAGTACCAGCTGGGCGTGCTTTCGTCGTTTTCGGTGTCTCTGCGTGCAATCAGCTGCGTTCTGGCCACGGCCATGGTCTCATAGCTATACCACACTAGGCTGTCAGGGGGTCGCTGTGGAATGTCGCCTATGTTTTTGAAGAAGAACACACGGCCAGCGCAAACGATGGACACCACATTTGCCGTTGGCGCAGCGCAGACGAAAAGCTCAGCACGGCCCAGATGCAAACGCTTGCGGAAGAGCACGGATGCGTAGATCCGGCGTGTCAGACGGATAGCAAGCCCGCAAGCAAAAATAATCGGGACAAGGATCCAGCAGTACCTGACTCCTCCTCCAAGAACGACTCCCATGACTGAGATCACGCAAAAGGAGAAATCGAGCCAAGGGAAAGTCTTCCAGGCTTGAGTCCGGTGATCGATGAATTCTGTCGTGGCGAAGTGCTTCCAAGTAGCTCCTGCCAAGGCCATGGGGTAGATTTGGCATCGCCCAGCATCCACTTCGCGCTGCATCTCAGCGTGAAGTCGCAACCGGACAATTTGGGGCAGGATCAGGAACGGGCTCAGCAACATGTGGCAGAGCATGAAAAACGGCAGGCAAAAAAACCAAAAAAAATTGCCGTATACGTCAGCGGGGCACCACAATTCTTGGAAAGCACTGGCAGCAAGCAACAGCTCCGGCCCAATAGGGGGTGGATTCTCAGGGTAGTACACTTGGAGCTTTTGGTACAACACCTGGTCCACGTAAACTTTCTTGCCCACAGCGCCCTCACATTTGGGATCGCAATGCAGCCCCCAGTCAGCTTGCGCAGCTCGAAGGGCCTCCAACGAGCTCACGACGTGGAGCTCCGTGCCTTTTGTGCGGTCGAGTTCCTTTGATTGGCTCTTCGAAGTTTCTAGGAAACTGCATTACTACTACTCATGATTCTTAAACAAGTAAGAACTAAACATGTATAATGTGTTTATATATGTGTGTATATATATACTAATATAGTTCTAGAGATGATTAGTACATTAGTAGATTGATATGTCAATATGTTCATACACGACTATATATATATCTGTTATGTTACTATGCTGTCGCATTATTTTTGGCTCCCACGTGGCACTGTCCGAAGACACTGCATAGCAGGTCGTCAATGTTTCAAGGCACTGAGATCCCATGCAAGTCAGGTACAGGATCAACAGCAGTGATAACAAGACAGTTTCAGCAGCAAGGGTCACATCCCAGCAGGTTCAATAGCTCGGCTCGATTCTGTACATGATGAGCCAAAAAGCATCACAGCAGGGCTCAGGTCACAGGTCAAGCGTTATCAGCGTGCGGACATCTCCCATCCACGTGCATTCGGGCACTCACAAGCGCGGCAGTGGTGAGAACCAGTCCCTTCCAGCAACAGCACTGCGTCCTCTTGTCCCACTGATAAGCAAAGACGCTCCCACTAGCACTGTAGAAGACCGTGGGCCAGCGTTGCCAAGCAGAGGCGCGCTGGGAAGCCCCACACTGACAGTCAGGGAGGGCTGTCTCACACATCCAATCGCCAGCATGAAGCACGAAGCACAGTTTAAGCAAAGCAGCAGTGAAGAGAACCGTAGCCAGAATGAGCTCCAGGCAGAATATCACAGGGACAGTTGCGCAGCTGTATCGCCCAATCCCCCAAGCCACCATAGTCCATAGTTGAAATCTATTGTGGATCCCGGCTCTATGCAGAGACCACAGTCGTCCGTCCCAGTGCTTGTGTGTGAGCACTTCGCTTCGGTAGCTGTGCGGAGTCCAGGAGCGTCTTCTTCACGTCGAATTCTGTGCCCAAAATTCCGGCTGCCGTAGTCACCACCCTGGAACACGAGTGTCAGCGGCAAGATGGAGGTTTATGCAGAGACCAAAAGAAGGTAGCAATTGCATCAACGCTTTGTAAAAGCTTCATCCGTTGTCCGGTCTATGCAGAGACCACCAACTGGTGCTTCGCGCAATCACCCTCTAAGTACAACCAACCACGTAACAAGTCTCTGTGATTGGTGAAAATCGAGGTCTATGCATAGGCCAAAAGGGGCAGCGGCTGCATCGCTGTATTGCAGGAGCTTCAGCTGTTTTCCAGTCGATGGGTTTAGGGGTTAGGGTTTAGAGGTAGGTTCTTGGGGGTTCAGGTAGGGTTCACCCTATGCAGAGACCACCAGTGGTTGCCTCGAAGAAACGGCCAGACAGCATGCCCCAAGCAGCAGAAATAAAGAAACTGACCGCAGCTGGTACCGAAACAGACTATGTCTTGATTCCGATCTCTCGCCATGTTCTGAAACTCCGCCCTGAAGCCAAGCACCAAAACCGTGAAACTCACACCGTCCTTTGGGAGAACGAGTTTCAGCAGGATGATAGCCGCAATTGGCGGGACGCTGGATGCTATCGAGAACCCTGCGCAAACTATCGGAAAAGCAAAGACAAGAAAGCAAGAGTAAGACAACATGACACTGAAAAGCAAGCAGAACCGCGTTAATGTTCCACGGCTTTGTGACCGCAGCCTTCTGTGAGAGTGTCGGGGTGTTGCCCCGCGTCGATCCCCGAGGGGGCCAACGTCAAGGTCATCACTTGCTATGACACTTCACAGACAAGCTGGTCAGAAATTTTTGCTGGTCACAGCCAGCACAGCTTCCCCACAAAGTCCTTATATGTTCCCTGGGTTTTCCCTCAATTTTCCCTCGGTTTTCCCAGCACCCAGCTGCACGGGAAATAAGAAGGAATTATCTGGGATTTATGCGGTTTGAGGCACATATTTTTGCTAAGATAAAGAAGGGTCATTTGAAGCAGCATCAAGGTGCTTACAAGATATTTGGGATTTTAAAGTAAAGCGGTCCGGCATGTCTTAGTGTCTAGTCGCTCAAACAATCTCAAATAGTACGGGGGTTACAAATTCCGAAACCTCGAAAAGAGAACCCTGAAACTCCTTTCCTCTCTCTCCCTCTGCCTCCTGCGTGCACAAAGCCTCAAAATGGGCGGCATTGGCGGCAGCCATTGAACACTCGAATATATTGCTATACTACATATACATAGGTCATTGTATTTCATTTTACTTTGTTTGCCTTATTACATTTCCGAAGTAAGATCTTGAACCAAACTGAAATGGACAGTGTAACACATGCCAAAGCTTGCCTAGGTTCCTGTTGCCCACAGACAAAAAATGACAGGATGGAGAATGCAGCGACCAAGCAATAGACCAGTGCGAAGGAGGCGAGGAAGGTTCGCGTAGCCTTAGGGAAGTGGAATCGCTCGAGGAGTTCCTTGCCGGACACCTCCATGATCTGCCGGACTTCTCCCCTCGCGCGCGGCTAGTCTTGTCGGGCCCAATGTTTTTTTTGTTGCCTCCCGCCTGGCTCTAGGGTTTCGGTTGTACGCATGGGTAGTCTACCGTCGTCTGTATGGTCTAAAGGCATGAGAAGGTAATGTGCGAACAGCGACTTTGCTGCAATGATCATCTTCACACCAAAATGAGATGATACAGAGCTGGTTAGTTGGGTCGCCGATATGACTGACACCAGGGCCGAGAAGGCTGCCGGCCTTCAAAGCACTGAAAAATTGCGCCCGAGGGTGAGAAGGGTTTAGGCTTCAAGGGACTCAGGGCTTATTCTTGTCGGGGCGTTAAGGGCTTCGGATTCAGGGTCCTCGTTTGGGTCTGTTCGGGAGTAGGGCTGGATATGGCAAGTCTCCTAGCAGGTCCTAGCAGGGGGATGGGTCGTTTCATTCGGCTGGAACAACGCACTGCATTGACCTATAGACTCCAAACCTCCCTGCCATCTGATCTGCACACAGCCCTGGACCGTGGCTACGGCCCTTGGTTCTCCCGAGCTGCAGCGAAGGATGAAAACAGCTTTTGTGCCAGGACCTTTTCACTTTCGACTAACAACTTTAAGAGGGTTGTAAGAGATCACGCTCCGGTTTCGGGGTGTATGTGCACTGCGCTGCAGTGCGATACCAGCTGTATCTGTATCGATCTGTGCTTCCGAGGTTGCAGAGGGGAATGAATCCAATAACCACGCTGTTATTTGGGGGAAACCAAATAAACCCTTTGGGCTGCCTGTTGAGGACTTACGCTAGGCTTCTTCGGTGTTGTCGCCCAGCAACCCGAAGCCCCCCCGGGGCACGCCCTGACTCCCTCCCTCTACCCCCTTTTTGCATCCCTCCACCCCCTCCCTCCCCAAACTCTGAAGCTGAAGTTTCCCAGGCTGTCCGGCGTCACGGCTGGTTCTGGCCACCGAGATTGGAAGGCTTGCTGGGACTGCGAACCCGCTCTGCTGTCGCTGTTGTTGCTAAAATATACACACTTTCCTGCAACCCTCCCTAAAGCTTCAGTGCTAGACCCTAAACCCGAAACAAGCTGAGAGCTACCACAGGATGCAAAAATGCGGAGCTGCTGAGGGTTTTGTCCTTTGGCACCTCGCAGACAAAAGCTTTCCCAGCTGGCACGTGGCATCCCTTGTCGCGAAAGAATCATGTAACGAGCAGAGATAAATGATACATACCGCAAGACATAATCAAAATAAACTAAATGAATCAGTACATAGAGAACGTCACACATTTAATTTAACATATGCAGACGAAATAACCGAATACATACATTGGATACTAGAAGGTCCACGCCGCGACAAAGTTGACACTGGCATCCAAGGCCTTGTGCTCAGCTCGGAGGGACCGGTTGATGCCAAGCAGCAGGCCTCTACAAACGACAGAGATCTCCTTTAGAATATTTCGACTTTTAGCCTGCAAGGCATCACGGCCACAGCTGGTGTGCAAAATGCCTCCATTCTTTTGCTGCGATTGCATCGCTTCGGGTCCCGGGCATGTTCTGGATTCCGGATGCTTTCCTACAGATTGCTTGCATAACCCAAAATCTTAATAGCTGTGGCGGCTGGTTCTGACGGCAGCTTCACTGCTGCTTTTCTTGCTTCATCGGGGAACTTCGCCTTGCAGCTCAGCTGACATCATGATTCTGCCGACATTATCAAATATTACGTATCAACAAAAACGAAGTTAGTGCTTTTGAGGTGGAGGGGCGCAACCTGTCTCGAAGAACTCGACACATCGCGTGAGGACTTCCTCCAACGGTGTCGGCCGGAAACCATACACCTGCAAACTGCAGGCTCAACAATTGAAACATAAGCCGGGTCGCCTGAACTCATGCATGGGTCGGCAACATATGCCTCTCGAGCCCGTTCACAACTGAGGGGCCAGAGTCTATCGACGCTGGGAAGATACACCTTCCTTACATGCACGCTTTGGGAACCGTAACACACAACTGCAAAGCCATCTTCGGTGCAACAAACACGTGGCAAGGCTCCACCACTGTGATGCAGGAAGCTGGCTTGTGTCTGCCAGGGCGCGGATTCCTGTCTGGGGCAAGTCGCGGCCGCTTGCGGTTGCCCCCAGAAGCGGCAAATAATTGTTCAAGAAACTCGCTGAGTTGTAGCTGCTCTTCACCTCAGCACAAACGATGCGTAGTGGCATGTGGCCAAAATCACTCGCGCGGTCTGCACCTTGCACCTTGCAGCCCTGTTCCAACACTTCACCACTGCTAGGCTTCTTTTTTCAGGCAAGGATTGCAGATGTTTGCGAAGATTGTTTGTGCAATCATTATATAAATGATTGGCTTCAATCTGCAACCTGATGAAATGCTTGCCACGTGCTACCGAAACAACTCAAGCACCCCTGCACCTTGGCACTGCCTTGGCCGCCGCGAAGGACTCCGACGAAACTTCTCAATTCACCCAGGGATCCCTGCTAAGTCAGACCTCGACCCGGGAAGAGGCCCTAATTATTACGGTCACCTGTGCAAGAAACCTCCATACGAACAATACGAAAACCTTCCGGAAAATGCCAGCAAACCCATCCCGTCATCGGATACATCTGCCCTTCAAATGGGGCTGCCGAGGCGTTCATGGGTCAGCGTCTGCGTCTGCGTACGATTATTTAAAATACCAGTACTGAGCTGTGCGAGAATGCACATGCTGAGACTCCGAGAAAAGCGCAGAACGTCAATCTGAAGGCTGAGGGCCATGCAACACAAGTTTACGATGTCCACGGCTTTGGTGGGTTGATCTGTAACCAAGCGCAGCAGAAACCTCGTTAAAGCTGCCGCAAGCCTTCTTCTCGGTTCACGCTCTAGCACAAAGACATCGCAGTCTGCCAAGTAGCTTTGCAACATCCAAGCTGTACACAAGAGCCAGCTTTGCATCGCCGGGTGCCTACGGAAGGATATATGAGGTGCTCACCGTCCGCATCCGTGCACATCAATATCTTCCAATGCTTACTGGCTGAGCCTGTGCGATCTCGTCTCCGTTCGCATCCCAGCTTTTCCTGCCAAGCTCGGCTGCAAGTTGACTCTCGGAATGTCTTCCCGGCTTGGCATGCTGGAGTGTGCTTCGCTGCCCGGCCTTTTGCGCTTGTAGCTTTGAACCTGCGGTGGAGGCGCACCAAGTTCACCGGCACGCAGCCAATGCCAGTATGCCCAAAGCCGATGCCTCGGATTGACAGGCCGCACAACCAAAGAAATGTTCCCCTGATCGCATTTCTCTGGCCCAGTTGCGTAGAGTCGCAGGGACCGATGACATCAGGCAGCCTCAGAATAAAGCATTTGCAGCCGGCCGGTAGCTCCTGCAAAACAGCTCGCACTAGTGGCCGATTCGCCTAGAGCACTGCCCACTGCCCCGGGGCTCCTTTAGAAGAACTTCTTCTCCTTGCAGTTTTTCGTTCCCGTAGCCATCATTGTTGTTCACAATCTCCTGCTGCTCCTGCAAGTGTGGCAAGGTTGGAGTGACAACTGCTGGCTTAGCAGCAACATCACCGCCGGCCCATGTCAGCAAGGAGTTGCAATTCGAAGACCGAAGACGGTTCGTGTGCCAAGATGTGACAACGTCTACAGTGTCTGCAGCGCACATCCACCCTGCACGAGCTGCGCCGCCAGCACGAAGTACCAACCAAGCTGGCACCAACCACTGAAAAGTTTTATGCCGCGGCTTCCAACACTCGAACCCCGTCATCCATACGCTGTCTGACCTGGAGGTTCTGCGTTTGATCATTCAAGCTCAAGCCCGAAAGGAGCTGGAGGCATGGAACTGGAAGGAAGCTTAGCCAAGAGTTCCACTAACCTCCTAACCTCCCCGCGGGCGTCCTTGGTAGCAGGTCGAACTGCCAGGCCTTCTGAAACGTGCGTTTCATAGCCCGAGCGACCGTCCAAGCGCTTCCTGGAAGGGGAGCATCAAGCCAGGGAAGGCAAACCCGAACTGAGTTTATCGTCAAGCAGACCTCGGCTTCCATTTCTCATATGCCCAGGTGCTAACCTGCAGGAGCATGCGTTGGAGATGTGGAACTGAAACGAGTGCTGGGCTACTCAGAAACTGATGACGTCTGCACTCGTCCATGGCCCAAATCGGAAGCACCGTAGCATGGCCTCGTATACTGAATCGGAAGAGATGTAGATGTATAGCTTGAATGCCTCTGGGGTTGGATGTCGAGGCATCTGGCTATGTGGCAAGCACACCAGTCAACATAGTGAAAATTGAGCTCGGCACGCCATCCAACCCCTGCAGCGAGGCATGTACGTCACCTCCTTGGGCGAGTGTCTGTCGCACTTCTGCATCGTTGTGTTTGTTTTCTCTTGGAATCTATCAACTACGTCACGACAAATTCAGGGCTCAGACTCCTTCAATCCCAGTGCAGCGAGACAAGGCTCGCATTCGTAGGCGCTGGTTGCTTGCATGATGCAAAGATCAGAGGCACAACAACACAAGCATATGAAGCTGTGCACTCCCAGACTCCACAAAAGCCGGAGAAGTCCACAACGCAGTCCCATTCTGTGCCTGGCTGCGCTTTGCACATGCGCAGACAAGCCTATGGCAAAGCCCCCTGCAGCATGCACCGTCTGCTGGCGCATGCCCGAACGATCAAGCCGTGCTGCTTGCCCTGTAGTGCCGGACTGATAGCTGACTTGGTCTGTGAGGTTTACAGCTCCGGACAAACAGTGATGCCCAACGTGTTCACATCAGTCTCGCCGCAGTACTCACTTTCATGTGGCATCTGCAATCCTGTGCCACACGCTCTCCGACCAAGCCTTACGTTCCCAAGCCAAAACCCGCAAGAGAAGTTTGACTCCACAACTTCGACCTGATCCTGCGACAGCGTCCTAGATCCGTCTACAACGCTCTAGCACACCAAGTGCAGGCAGTCTCAGAGTCCCCGGTGGCCTAAACGTCGAGTGGCTTCTCGCAGGTGTGCTGCGAAGGAGTCGCCCTTGTCCCTGTCTGAGAGAACGCGAGCGGCTTTGCCAGCCTGGATCTGCTGTGGTGGTTCCAAGCCGCTGGTGGGCTCTTGGACTCTCTAGCTGCTTCTAGGTGCAAAGGGATCTGGCGCTGCCCAATACGTCTTCCCACGATTGACGACACAGACTCCTCGGATCGACATGCCAACTGCTTCTCGTTGAGATCGCGCTTCATGTCAGTCTGAGTCATGTGACGGGCATGGTGCAGAATCATCTCCACAAACGCCTCTGCAAAATCTCTGGATTTCATTATGTTTAGCAGAAGAGACAACTGAAACAACCACCTGTGCCTTCCCCATGAACTTTGAGCCACCGAGAACCAGCACGGCCAGCTTGTCCTGCTCCTGGTGGAGAGCCTCGTACCACCACCGGCGAAACATCATAAATACCACGGTTAGTCCCTGGAAGCCAGACCTCGAAATTCTGGAATGTCGTGCTGTCCGTAGGCTCGTCATTGCATGTCATTCCTATAAGGTCCTATTGCAAAGGAGGTATTATCAGGGTGGGACTAAGTGCGCAAAATCCTGATACCCTACCTGCTTGAGACCCGGACTCCATGACTTGTTGTCCAAAAAACCTTCTAAGCGCTGAATTTGCCAGGTTTGCCTTCACCTCGTGAACAAAGCCGCTTCGGCGACTGCATTTGCCCAGTTCAGGGTCTTTGGCCACCGACCCAACCCCTTAAGAGGGACGGCCAACTCCATCCGAGAACCCGGAATCGGGTTTGCAAAAGACAAAACATACAACAGGATTCCGCAGTACTGCACCTACCATGGTTCGCTGAAGCCAGCACAGCATCCGGGCAAAGAATGCAACGGCATCAAGGCACAGATGCCAGTCTGAGCTGCTGGCAATTGAAAACGGCGAAACAAAGACATCACTTGCTGGCAAAGCGTGTTCGGGAATCGCTTGGCCTGCATCCACAACAATGATCGCCAGGGGGCCGGAAAACTGTCCAAGCGGTCACCGATGTCCAAGACCTCGTCATGTATGTTTGGGCAAGCAGGAATGATAGCAAGCAGCTGAACTGCATCTTGGGGGGCTTGCCGCAGCAGCGGCCGGCGTCCTCTCTTGCCAACTGGCCGCCAAGGTGTACGAGAACCATAGCCTGGCCAGGCCGGAATAGAGGCAGGCGACGCGTGAACGAATCTGCAGAACACGCTTAGGGCCAAACGTGACTTCAGCTTCTTTAGCAAAAGACTCGCCTGGACCTTGGACTATCAAGCGATAGTGAAGTAAAATCGCACGTGAACTGTCCATGTTGAGACCAATAGGAGTCGGAATGTAGGAATGATGTGGCGATGGCAGCAACCAGAACGCGCAGAAGATCTGTGGTGACCACCTTGTGTCGCCAGTCGCTGCGTTATGCTCTTGAGCCTCAGTGGTTGCATCATGTTGCATCAGTTCAGAGCGGTAGTGCCGACATTCCGCCGACAAGGATGCAACGGTGCCCAAGTGGCTTCGGCCCAAACTGCAGACTCTCCTGCGCACACGAGACTCGTGGAAGTTGTTTGCAGAAGTCGAACTCCCCAACCCCGTCATACCGTCATACCCCATCTGCCTGCTAACCATTACGCGATACCGCAGTCGCTTATACTGCACTGCTTCTATGCACCGCCATGCAGATCGCCGCGAGGACCAAGCTGAAGCGACCACGTAACAACTGTCCCAGTTTTGCCGAGGCGTCCACCCATCAGGGCTGCCCAGGCTGAAATCCTGAACTGACCACACATTAACCACATTCCTAGATCAAGAACCGATGCTCTCAGGAAATCTGGCAGATTCGACCGATTGCTGGTGGCACTGTGTCAGTCAGGGCTCGTCGTTTCGGCGGCCGCCCGAACTTGCACCACCCCCTGCGAGTGGTGCGGCTTCAGGCTTCAAGCAACCGCGACTCTACAGCGCATGAGACCTTCACAGGCTTACCCGCAGATACACAACCTACAGTAGCATGGACGAACACTCCTTTTGTCATGACTGCAATCGATGGTATGCAAGTCGCAGGGGAGGGGTCACATGACTCCTCCACAGATGTTCATGGAACCTGTCCGTGATTGGGCACATTTATAACATTGCTGTAACACAAGTGCCGCCTACCCACCACTCCAGGGCGGACGCAATGGCATTACTGTGACGGGAAATTGACGGGAAAGCACGACTGCATGGTGGGGGGGGGCCCGGTAGCGCCGGGTATGCACGAGTAACGTAATTGAGCGCAATGGGATATTTTTGCTTGGAAGCAGCGTGCGGAAGCACAACTGCAACTGTCCTGAGGCAAAGCCTGATACTGAAGAGGCACATGAATATCATGAATAATCATAAATTGATGACGGTGATAACGCTGACCTGGGTTGTGCTGCTCTGGGGGTTGCGACGGCCATATCCAAACCTACCCCGCGCAAACGTACCAATGCTCCATGATTCGTTGGCACGCCTCCAGCTTTGGGTGCTGGCAAATTGAAGGGCACTGCAGCATCCTGACCGGCTTCAGAGTTCCGGGACAGGCACAGGCAAAAGCCGGCTTGTCCTGAGCAACTCCGGCACAAGGCGGGCAAAGAGCTCCGGAAAGACAGGGCAGCTCAAGACCTCGGCACTCGGCAGGCCGGAGTCGCAGTGCCTTCTATACTTGAAGCTATGGGAACTACCGTAACTACCGCTTTGCGCTGTGTGCCAGGCTTGCTGGCGTGGCACCTGCATGGCAGCGCGATAACCGGAACAACCCATTTTGCTCGCACTTCTGGCAAGCGACCCACCACTCGGAATGTCTGCCCGCTCCGAGCTCTGCCTCGTCCTTCCGCGCGACTCCAAGCACAACGTAACGATGGGGACAGTTCGATGGACGCTTCTGATGCTCATGTCCACATGGCTTCTCCGCGAGAGATGCCATCAGCATTGCAGCATCCATTGTGTCTCTCCCACATGCCCCGCAGACGTACGTTTCCGGTACAAACCGGTTTGCTGCATTATGCTGCATTGCAAAGGCACCTTCCTCTTGTGTTTTCCCTTCCGGGTCCTCGAGGTTTGATGGTTAAACATTACAATTCGCTTCGGCCCTTCCAAAGCGGCCAGAGTTCTCCCAGGAAACATCTTTCCTCCTCTTAATCCCGTCCCACACAACCCTCCCCCCCTGTGAAATTGCACTTCCAGTCCAAGCCCCCAGAGCGCCCGCTCACCCCCTCCAGCTCGGAGATCCTAAACCAGATGTCAGGGTGAGGGTGCTGAAATCCTGCTCACGATCCTGCTCGAAAGCCTTCAGTGTCTGCAGCTTGCGTCCGGAGACAGGAAGCCATGACTTTGTCCGAAAACGCTCTGAGCAGGTCCTCCCACTCGACGGTTCCGCAAATCGCAGTTCCAGCAAGGGCTTGCCAAACGGCCAGAGCCTCGGATCAGTCCGCTTGCCCTTACGTTGCAGGCCAGGATTAGGTTAGCGTACTCTTGTTCTGGCACCAACGGACAAAACAGTCGTGCATTCTTGAATTGAGCTTGCATGCAAGGGAACAAGTATACGGACCTCAGGTTTTAGCACTATTCACGCGGTCGCGATCAGACAAGCGCAGCCAAATCTCTTCATTGTGTTGCGAATGTTGCGGTTCGTGCGTGTCAGAGCGTCGTTCTGAAAGAGGCTAGAACACAAAAGTGAAACAGTATAAGACACCTTCGGCTTACAACTTGGTGAGGCTGCGGTCCAAAGACTTCGCAGCGCTGTTGTGCCTGCAGGCAAAGTGGAAGCACTGCACACGCTGCCCAACCTCGTTGCTTCTCTAGAACCGTCCCCACCTCGCAGCGCCCTACAAAGACGACCTGAAACTCGAAGTTCCTTCTGCCACGCTCCCTCGTCCAGGGACTCAAGTGAAACACAAGCCCTCGAGTGGACCCTACGAGGGCTGACCGCCGGATTTCCGCCCAAGACTGGGCAAAGAGTCCAAGCAGAAGCAAGGACAGTGGCAGCAGCAGCAGCAGCAGCAGCAGCAGCGGCAGCAGCAGCAGTACCAGCACTAGTCTTTAAGCACCACCAACTGCTCATGCTATAAGGATATAGCCCGTTTCCTTATCGCTGCCCCTCTCCCACCAACCTTCTCTAACACAAACCTTCCGATGTGGCAAAAGAACAAACCGCACATACGTCAGGATGTGTTATGATGTGCTTCACCACGGCATGTGCCAAGTTGTTGGCGGCTTCAGCGTCGCTGGCAGCTTCATCTGCGCCGGTATTTCGCAGAAGCCTCGACCGCCCGACTGCTATAACCAAGAAGGCAAAGGAGCGCCGGTGATGTTCGTTTTCCATTGTTGGCTGGCATTTGTCATGATTAAGTTCGCTGCAGAAGTGCCGCATCTGCCACAGACAGCACGTCCAGCATGCCTACTACCTGGACTCGACGCCACAGGATGCCACAAGCGAAGAACTGTTCATCGAAACCCCTATCAGGCTCTCTGAGGAGTCAGGTCCGCCTCCGGATCGTTCAGACATGCCCTTGGCCACCGGTCAGCAGCCAAGTCCGCCTCAAGAGCTTGCAGCAACTTGGAAGTGCCGAAACAGACCGAAGTCATCCGCCACCTCGGGACCCGACAAGCAGGGGCAGGAGTTGAGGGCAGGCCGGATTCATCTGTGCTGTTGGCAAGAGCCTGCGCGCACGGACATGCGCAGGGTTTCAATATGGTTTGATCGTGGGCCTGTCCAGGATCGGCCGCAGAATCGGCTTCAGTTCTGCATCGCATCGTACCCACCTCCGTGAGGAAAGCTTCTGTGCCACCTTTCTTTCCACACCTCCCTGTGCAACCATGCCACAATCCCAACTACACCAACCATAGACGGCTTGGGCTGGCCTTGCCAGCTGCTGCGCGATCTCGCAACCTCTGTCCGGCATTGCCTCGACAAGATACATGGAACTGTGCGCTGTTAGTACGCCAGTAGTACGCCACTACCAGTGTTCGGTCAGCGAAGCGGAACGGCCGTATGATGCTGTGTGGCGCATCTAGTTTCTCACAGGCCTCTACCGAGGAGAGCAAGCTCGCCTGACGGTCGGAATCAAGCGCTTCCGCATGTCCGTTGAAAAACAAACGTTGATGGCTGAGGATGCAACCAAATGCCCATACAAGGCACGCAGCGGCCTTGCCTCATCCATGTCCAGCCTGGATCGCGAGAAAGCTGAAACGTACGGTCGCACTGTCGGGAAGTATTATGCCAGCCGCACCATTCGAAAGACAAACGTGCTGCTTTCAACCAACCAGGAAGTACCTCCAGGAGCTGTGTTGACATGCTCGATATGGTTCTACCAGTTCTACCATGCTCTGCATCTACTCAGGAGCCAGGCTTTACAGTTCGTCTGTCAGCTGATCAATCTGATGCAATGCAATCGGTCCAGTACGCGCCTCAAGCATATTCGGGTAGTTCACGCAACTGCGGAAGATGACGCTGAAGACCTAAATTCTGTTTGCCTACAGACCTCTGTTTCCAAGACGAAGGACAGCGAACGTGAAACCGGGACGTCTGCAGCATCGCAGGCCTCATAAGCGAATCCCAACCGTGTTGGCAAAAGAAGTCTCTCTGTCGCTGCTCATCATGCGCACCGTCGACTTTCATGCTGCACCATTTCTGCTTGTGCTCTGGCTCCAACTGTTGTGATGTGCGTAATTCTCTGGCTCCAGACTCGTAACTGGCAGCATATCTGCTTGCTTTTTGGTTCTAAATGCTGTGGTGTTTGCTCGTACCCCGACATCCTGACCAAGAACCAACGGTTCCACCAAGGTTCACAAACAAGAGCCACCGGACCCTACTTTCAGCTGACCACCCGCAAAGTAAACCTCTGCCTCCACGAGCGCGTAGGTCTCGCTAGGTGTCGAGATGGCTGCCAAATCAGGGGCCAGGCCTCTACAAGTGTGCCTGCTGCCAGCTGCCAGAGTTGCACGTCCCCCAATGGAAGGGCCTGGAACTGACCAAAGAATGTCGACTTCGATGACTCACGGATGGCCGAGTGCTGGGCGGACCATCAGCTGTTCGGCAAATGCTTATGGTGCGTCAAAGCATACAGCAAGATGTCCTTTTGCCCACACAGCTCTGGATGCTACCAGCAAACCTTCAGCTCGAAAAAGCTGCAGCCCTGCACGCCGGCATATGCCTGAGTCTCACAAAGTGATTGTGCGACCCGTCCAGAGACATTTGCCAACGCCTCTGCAAGAAGATTAATCGCACTCCCGCATTGCCGAGGAGCGGTGTGGTAGACCTGTGTCGCAGAGCACAAGCAGGGCGAAGAGGCGAAGTCTCCCTGAGCCAGAGCCTGGCCTTGCAAATGTCGGTCTTGAAGCCCCTGGATTCCAGGCAGTTCCGGATCCAAGTAGGGCCATCCGGTTCCAACATCCATGGTCTCCAGAACCTGGCAAGGTGGAGCATGGCCACAAACTCCCTCCGCGGCTGGCTGTCGTTATGCTCGCATCCCCCAATGCACCGAGAGGCGGTATCAGCTTGATGTTCTGGTTGAGGTAATATGATGTCAAACCCTTGTCGGCAGCTTTTTGGAACTCGTGGAACAAGCCCTGGCTGATGTCCTGCCAGCAAACCGTGCAAATCCTGAATTTACAGCAGGACATACCGGCCAGTCCAGAAGCTGTTGATTGTTCAATCTCGCTGGTAAACGTCTAATTAGACGATTCGGTGACATTCTGCGGGTCAGGTCTTCGCGAAGGCAGAGTGTTTCTCGAAGATGCCAACCAGCATCATGTGTGACATGAAAGCAAGTGATGCATATTGATGTACGTCTGCCTGCACTTCTGCAATCTTATGCATGTGGTATGTATGTATGTATGTATGTATGCATGTATGTATGTCTGTACGCATGTACGTACTTAAGTAGGTAGGTCGGTTGGTTAGTAGGCCGGCACTCAGGGTTGGCAACTTGGCTCGCAGGCAGCGAGGCAGCAGGCAGGGCAGGAGGTTCGAGTAGGCAGGTCGGTAGGCAGTAGTCTGTAACTGTAGGGTGTAGGGCGCAAGCGGCCCTGCGCTGAAGACTGGAGCTGGCAGCCAGGGCCGCATCAGCATTTGGACCTTCCTGTCTTCATTGCTTCTGAGCATCCGCTTGATTGTGTCTCATCCTGCCTCACTGTCCAAGGCACAGGTCGATTGTCCGCACTTGGTCGCCATTTTCACTTGCATGTACGGTAGCAGTCCTGTCGCCCCTTGTTTTGTGCAGCCCTTAGGAGGTGATCCACGCCTTCGCCACACCCCGCCCACCAACCCCCCTTCACCGCTGTCACACGCCCACACCGCATGGTGAGTATACAATTCCCTTTTCACTGTGATGTAATGACTTGACCCGAGCTGGTACACTCACCTATAGATACGTACATGCTACTCCTACGTGTATATGTACAAACATCCATACGTACACACATGTACAGACATAGCTAGTGTATATACAAAAATACACATGGCAAAAATGTCTAGGTATATATATATACATATGTATACATACGTATGTATGTGTTTGTATGTGTATATGTATACTTACATGTGTACATGTATGTGTATGTGTATGCATATCTAGATGTCTCCAGTTTAGATGTCTATCAGTATTGTTGTATACTTGTATACTTGTTTACGGTATACACACACAGATATATATATATATGTGAGAGAGTGTGTGTGTGTGTGTGTGTCTGTGCGTGTGTGTGTATATCTGTACTTATGTATGTATATACATATATATGTATGATTATTCAACTATGTCTGTGTACACATGCGCATAAGTACATACCTAACTACAGCGCAAAGCCCTAGTCCCCG